TAGAACGGTAAGCAACGAGGGCTGGATATGGGCCTTCATTCTTGTGGAGCAGTGCTTTGACTGTGCGAACTGCCCTTTCAACTTCCCCATTAGCTCTTGGGTATTTTGGTGAACTTGTCACGTGAACAAAATCGTACTCAGTGGTAAACAGGCGAAATGCATCGGAGCTGAACTGTGGGCCGTTATCTGATACAATAATGTCAGGTATGCCATGCGTGGAAAATAGTTCTTTCAGGACTGAAATGACTCTGGCAGATGATTGGTTGAAAGAGGTCGGCAGCTTACCGCTCCCATCGGCGTGAAGGAAGAGAGGCTGACATCAGTGGTTCTTCTGGCTCAGGGCGTTCTTTGGCGCAGGTGCTGCAATTTGTCACCATGTTTTCAATCTGCATAGAGAGCCCTGGCCACCATAGTGATGCTTGTGCTCTAGCTCGGCACTTGGTTATGCCAAGATGACCAGTGTGAATGCAGTTGATTACCTCCAGTCTCATGGATCTAGGAATCACTATGCGCTTGTCACAGAGAAGCAAGTCATCAACAACGCTGAATTGGCTTCTTTTTTCCCAGTAGGGACTTAGCGGGGGCTGGTGTGGCATATAGGTTAGCCACTCTAGACTGCAGTATTTCCTGATTTGGACGCATTCTTCATCAGTGATATGGGCCTCTCGTATCTGTGATAGACGATGTGTAGTTGCTGGGAGCGTGAACACTGTCTGGGCTGCGAAGCTTTCTAGCTCGTCTACCAACTGCTCGTCCTTTTCTCCAGGGTTTTCTATAGGTGCACGGGAGAGAGCGTCCGCTGCTAATTGGTGTTTCTCAGGGACATATTTGACAGTGACGCTGAATCCCATTAACCGAAGGTGAAGCCGCTGGATACGTGGTGGGGTCTTGCATAGTTCAGTAGTATTTGTTAAAGTTTGAAGGGGCTTGCGGTCATTCTCTAGGACAAATTTAAATTCATGCCCATAACATATTCACTAAATTTTTCACAAGCCCAAACTCCTGCTAGCGCCTTTTTCTCTATAACTGCATAGCGTTTCTCAGCATCACTGAGTGATCGTGATGCATAGCTGATGGGTCTACGATTCCCATCATCTTGTACCTGGAGGAGGACTGCACCAATGCCGTTGAGGAAGGCATCGGCTGCGAGGATAGTTGATCGACTGGGGTCATAATAAGCTAAGACTTCGGCTGACGTAAGGGTTGTTTTAATCTGTTCGAAGGCTCTCTGCTGGGGTTCTATCCATAGCCATGTGGTGTCTTTGCACAGCAGCTGACGCAGGGGTTCGCTCATCTCCGCCAGCCGCGGAACGAACTTCCCCAAATGGTTCACCACCCCCATAAAACGTTGCAAGTCCTTTACATTTTGGGGAGGTGGAAACTGATATGGCTTTCGTCTTTGTTGGGTCAGCATGTATTCCCTGTTCGTCAATGATGGTGCCTAGGAATTTCACAGAGGTCCTGAAAAACTGAAATTTTTCAATGCTGAGGGTTATGGCAGCCTCTTGTAAACAGTGCAGTGTAGCTCTTAGTCGTCTGTCGTGTTCCTCTTGGTCCGCTCCATGGACAAGAATATCATCCATTTGGCATGTCACCCCATCAACATCTTTAAGGGTTTCTGGCTTTGTGCGCTGGAATATTTCTGGGCAGAACTTATGCCACAAGGAAGGCGGTTAAAGCAATATCGCCCAAAGGGAGTTACGAATGTAGTCAGCAGTTTTGACTCCTCATCAGGGGGAACTGTCAGAATCCGCTATTAGCATCGAGTTCGGTGAAATAGCGACTTGTTTCCAGTTTTGCAAGGCTCTCGTCGACTGACGGCATCGGATGGTTTTCTCGCTGGACTACCTTGTTTAACTGAGTTAGATCTACACAGATTCTGACATTACCGTTTGATTTTGGAACTGGGACGAGGCCAGAGCACCAAGGAGTCGGTACAGTTGCTAGTGAGAGGACTCCCTGTTGAAGCATAGAGTCTAATTCTCACTTAACCTTAGGCACGAGCGGATGGGGAATTTTTCGTGGTGTATAAATGCAATTGGGCTTTGCGTTAGGTTGCAGCGTTATGTGCACTTCAGTCCTCACCTTTCCAAGACCAGTGACTAGTGAGGGGAATTCAGTTTTGAAATCAGCATGTTGTGTAGTGACATCACCAATTTCTTCATCAGTGCGGGTGATAAGCCCTAATGCAGTCAGGCGTTTCTGCTTAGTAGGGGACACGTCTGGTCTGGTATGACATACACTGGTTCGGTAACTTTTCTCTCACGGTATGAGAGGTTGGCTAGAAACATACCAATGACTGGGATTTTGATATTTCCAGGGCCTCGCAAGGTTTGTTTTGGTTTGACTGACTTTTGATCTTTTGGCCACGAGGTACGTGCACCAATTACTGTGACTGCAGCACCAGTATCCAGCTTAAAGCGAGTATTTTGGCCGTTGATCCTGAGTTGGGCGGTCCAACCACCCCCGGTGATTTAAAATTCTGCCAGAAAGAGAACCTCATCCCCCTATTTCTGCTCTTCATCTTCTTCCAGTTCACACATTCTCTTTGATGGCGGTGAAGAGCTGCGACAAACGTTTTGAAAGTGTCCCTTTTTTTGGCGTTTGTTACAGGTAGCATCTTAAGCAGGGCATTCTTGGCGGTGGTGTCTTTCGCGGCCACACCATCCACAACTTGGAGTAGGTTTGGAACTTTCTTTGTTGGGTGTTTTTTTATTTCCTGACCTTCCTGGGTAAACAAATTTAACCTGAGCTGGTTTGTTGCCCCCACGGACGAGATCACGGTTTTGTGCCCTAGATTCTGCCTGACGACTCATCTCAACGGCTTACGCGAGCGTAAGAGTTCCTTTCGTCTCAAGTCGGTCGGAAATTGAATCATCAAGTACTCCCACTACGATTCGGTCTCGAGTTAAGTCATCTTTTAACGTACAGTAGTCAAAATTGTCTGCTAATCTATATATAAACCTGGATAAATGTGTTGACAGATTCTCCCGGTTTTTGCGACCTTTTTTTAGAACGGGCTCTCTCCACGATTGTGTTTCGCCGTTCAGCAAAATGGTCATTTAGTGATGTTTTAATCTCCTCGTAAGAGACAGTTCCTTCATCCAATCGAAGCATTTGAAGAATATCATCGGCACTGTCTCCCATTGCATAAAGGAGAGTACTGACCTGCTCTGTTTGTGGTTTACTGTTCAGCCCTGACGCTACTCTGTACTGGTCGAATCGACGAAGCCACTTTGGCCATGTATCTGCTACTTGGTGACTGTTGGCCTGTCGAACTTTCCGGGGAGAGGAGTTTGTGTGGTCGTGTGAGCGGGATTGACCGTCTCCGGGACTGGTGGGCTCTGGTCGTCGACTCCTGACATTGCTTAGTGTGGATTGTATCCAAACACCGCTGCCACCATGTAATATTAAGGCCTCAAAACAAGGAATTTATTCCTAACGCAAACTAACATACACACAAGATGGCGGTCTCAAAGCGTAAGGCCCCCAGCACGCAACGGGGTCCTTCTAGAACCTAAGAAGTCTGGTCACGAACGACTAATCCAACATCCAACACAGATCATTAAGATAAAACGATAGAAAGGTATTCAAGAGAAAGGCTCAATTCTTGCCTCTCACTTATACCTTGAGCAGAATAAATAACATTATCAAAGGTCAACTAAGCTTAACTGAAGCTAAATTCTATGCACCCAGAGTGAAATAATGACAAAAGTGGGCCATTTCTCCGGCATAAACACATTAATCTGTACTAGCTACTTCCAACATGGTATTCGACCAACTGAAAACATTTGAACTTTGTAGCTCGACGAACCTACCAAAGCTGTAAATACGTATCTATCTTGAGACTTTGATCGTCTTTTTGTACATTTCAGCTTCGTCAGTTTGATGATAAACATACATGAACCACTTTTAAGCCAAGAAAAACCTTTTACGGCAAACATGGCCGCCAGAAATATTTGATCACGTGACTTAAGTTTTGTCCCGTGACCAAAGTGCACGTGAGAACAACACGCACGGGAGCCTGCTAAAAGTATACAGAGAAATAATTAATTTCTCTGTGCAAAAAAAAAAACTTTAAAAAAATTCACTCTGAAAGTTTAACTGGGCAACCGCTTCAATGAAATGGGCGCACTGGCGAGAGAAACCCTTTAGTGTTGTCCCGCTCCTAACTTCGAAGCATGGAAACTAGTTAGCGGCGCAAATGTTGCTGGGAGAATTAAAATGGCAGAGACTTTAGAGCCAGTTATCAGCATGGAGAATTTCGTCCTGACTCGTTAGTTTCTGGACAGTTATGAGGTAACAATGAATGCTTTTAAACCTGTAACACTGCCACCAGCCTAAAAATGAAACTTGAATGCTTTGAAGGTCCTGCTGATGCGATCAACAGTGGAGAAAGGCCTTAGCATATGGTTTTCAGTATGGTGTTGGAAATTATTGTTTGAGGCTGGAGAACAACAAATTGGTTGGGTCCCTGAAAAGGACCGAGCAATTTTGGTTGCTGTTGGAAAGGCATGCGAGTTGCCAAACTTTCACGCCAAAATTGATAGTGCCAAGTGGCAAAAATATGGGAGACAAGTTTAACAAGATAACAATTTTTTATAATTTGTGAGGCTTTGTGAAATAATAAAATAATCAAGTCTCTTTTAATTAATTGTGTGGAAAGTTTATTGATAGTTTTGTGTAAATCATGTCTCTTTTCTTAAATTAACGATGTGTGTCTTTATGTGTATATTTTTGATAGGTTTGTTTTAAGTTGGGCAGATAACCCATTATGTTTTCCTGGCTATTTATTCACTGGCCATGTATAATTTAACAATAACTGTTGTTTAACCTGAGACAGACATAACCATTACAAAGCTCCTTTAATCGAAAATTAAAATCATTCTACGTTAAGTTCACAAAAATTGCGATATCATAACAATATAATATAGTACTAACGTATTATATGTCAGTTTCTGATCGATATACAAGGATAAACCGTGACTAGCTTACCAGCATCAAAAAGTCGCTTCCCAAAATTAACATCGACCTAAGAAAGTTACGAAAGTCGTCCAAAATAAAAGAAGACAAAAACAAAAAAACTTCAAGAAACTTCTAAAACACTGTCTGTGAAAATCTAGTGGCACATAGCAATGTTGCACCATTTAAAGATCAATGTAACTTTTCGTGAGCTGAAAGAATCTGGAGCAAAAAAAAAGTTTCTGCCGATAGTAAGCAAAATTTACACGGTGTAAATTTGTCTTTCTTTATCGCTATATTTTACTTAAATTATTTATTTAGAAGCTGGTCTCCAGTCGGCTGGTCCCCGTGAAATGTTAGTTCTCGTGCAACATGCTACGAGCACCTACGCCTATTTGTTGTTCGATCACTTTTATTAATCTTTAATCCATATCAACAAAGCAGCTGTTCCAAAAGGGAAAATAAAAGCAGATTTAGTAGAGGTCAATTTTCCTTATCAATTTTCCTCATTGAGAAACTTTTTACTCACAGCAAGCATACAGATTCCTCTTTTTACCTTGTCACAGCCATAGAAAGGTAACAATAAATTTTTCTCAATTATATATTTTTATTTGGTTTGAGAGATTTTACATTAACTCAGCCTAACTTAACTTAACTTAACTCATTACTTAACTATGCATTATGAGGTAACGCAAGAAAAACAGTCAATCGGCCTTCTCCAATCCATAACTATAAGCAATTTGGTGGCTTTCCTTAACAAAACATGGTAATTGCGGCGAATCGATAATAACTTGTCACAAAGATTTATCTTGACGGTAAACCATCTTTTTAACACCAAGCAAACCCCGGTAACAGAGACTGCACCTCCACAGAGGAGGGCCATATAAGCGCCCTGGGTGATGAAAGGTAAGAGAGTATAAATCAGAATGGCTGAGGCAACACTGGTAGCACCGATTAGTTGTCCAAAAATTTTATGTAGATACTCAGTGCGCTGATTGGCAGAGTATATAAACAATTAAAAGCTGAACCCTCTAGAAAATTACGAAAAGACCAAATGCATCAAAACAGGAAAGCCGGATGAGCGTTGAACTGAAAATTTCTTACCTCGACAAGAATAGTTAGTATGAAAATTTCTACGTATAATGATATCTTAATAAAGAGTATTTTATCATTTTTTTTTTTCATACGATAGAATCCGCCCACCGAAGCCATGGGTTCCTGCAAGTTAACTTAAGAAAAACACTCTCTGACTTTACAAACTAAGGCAGGATTAACTAGAGCAGAGTTATTTTCCTGCAGTTGAGTCTTAAAGTTTTGTTTATTGCTTTTGCTCGTAATAGTATGGACCAGAGTTTTTTGCTATTTCTATTTCCTTTGTTTTTTCTGGTATATTTCTACAAATGTTTGTCATCGCTACGTAATCGTGCATAATTTCACTGATCTCTGTTTCAAGCTCTTTATATCGTATGGATAGCTGTATCACCACTTTGTCATGTTTGTTTTGGTTTATTTTTGTGAAGGCAGATAGCCCACTTACAGTAGCACCGCATCCAATCGACAGACCGGCAGCCAATATTCCACCAACACCAAGGCCGATTGCCGTTGCTCCACCAGCCAATCCTATGCAGGAGGCAATGACAGAAAAAAAATCAAATCCCAGTAAGAACTTCGCTGCTAATGGCAACCACGTGTTCAATTAACAGTTTAATTTTTTGCTTCGCGTCGAGAGACTAAAGCAAACAAGCCTGTACTTCTGTAAAGCGCAGTAGGAACACATTTGATTAGAAACAGTAAGCTAACCACTTATCTACGTTTGTGACTCGCAAACGCATTATTTCACAGGTAAGCTTAATTAAACAGGCCTGTTTTCTCTGGGAGGTTAGTTAGTGTAGTTAAGTCAAGCCAAAGGTGGGAACTATGGTTTACTTGATTATTTCATTTCCCATGTAATTGACTACTGACGCAATGTGTTATCCGCGATCTGAACGGCGTGATTCAAACATAGAGCTATAAAAAAATGTAAGAAGATGAGCGAAGCTTGAATCCAAGCAAAGGACCCGAAGAGTAACTCTTCTTTGGGCCCTTTTTACTTCCATAAAAGGAACATTTAAATGTCACTAACAAACTTTGAAAAACATGGCAGAATGTTTTCTGCTTACCTAAGAAAGTTAGAGGATAAGTCCATGTAGCTTTATGGTTTTCCTTGAAGGCTTTGATTTCTTGGTCAAACTCGGAAAGGACGTTTACTGCTTGTTTAATGGGTTTTTCCCATGTCTTTAGCGCTGCATCCAAATCAAGCTTTTTAAATCTGATTGCTGTTAGATCTACTTTTTAATAATCCTTGGGGGGGGGGGGTTCTGGTTTCACATGTTGGAGGAATATGAAAAGTTAAACTAGTGTAAATTTTTTTTAGTACTGGATAGAATTATAACAATTATATATATAGAAGTTGTTACTGGAACTCTCAGGCCAACAAAGGTGGGTGAGACAGGGATGCCCATTATCTCCTCTCCTTTATGTGCTAGTTTCAGAAATATTATTAACGCAAATCCGTAATTGTAAAGATATTGAAGGTTTCCTGCTCCCAGGAGCAGGGGGCATTCAATATAAAATATTCCACTACGCTGACGATGCTACTTGCATCTTAAAATCCGAAAGATCTCTTTGTTCACTTCTCCGAGTCGTATCAAAATTTGAACAAGGATCCGGCGCTAAACTGAACACGTCCAAATCTGAAGCAATGTGGTTAGGAAAATGGCGAACGAAAATTGAATGAATAGACTTGAATGGCCTCAAATGGGTCACTAAAATGAGAGTGCTTGGTGTTTTCTTCTCAAACGGCCTCCTCAATGTCGACGACGACAATCGGCGGGCCAAATCAGACAAACTAAGTTCGGTTCTAAATCTTTGGAAACAAAGAGACCTTTCTTTTATCGGTAGGACCTTAATTGTAAATACTTTAGGCGCAAGCCGCTTATGGCACGATGCTAAAGTCATTCCCCAACCCCGTTGGGTGCGCGATAGCTTTAAATCGATCATTTGGCCTTTTATCTGGAAAGGAAAAATGGAAAATGTTAGTCGCGATCGCTGTTGTGCGCCCCCATCCTCTGGGAGCCTCAACGTCGTTAATTTTAAAGCTAAGTGCGCTAGCCTGCGCCTTTCTGTTTTTTCCAGTTTAAGAGATGACTTTGGCACATCCAAATGGCATTACCTAGCTCGATATTTTTTAGGACATAAGCTAACTATTCTAGATCCCCGTTTTTCTTTTCCCACAAATTCTGGCCCCTCTTCCTTCCTTCCTTCCAATTACTACCGGCTTTGTTTAGATAATTTCCGTACCTTGCATCAGAAAACTGGTGCCTTACCTGATTTACTCACCAGTAAGAATTTATATCTTTTGTTGCTTGACCCCGTCTGCGTTGCACCCCGGTGCTCCGGTTTTTGGGCGTCTGCTATGGACCGCCCCATCAATCGTTGGGCCTGGGTGTGGCGCAAGTCTCGCCTAAAGCTAATTGAGAACAAGAAGAACGATCTAATTTGGCTATTGATCCATAGAATGATCCGCGTAAGATATCTCCTAAAGTCTTGGGGATACATCAATAATGACAAATGCGCGATCTGCGGTAAAACAGAAACTATTGAACACTGTTTCTTGGGATGTCCCAGAGTTGTGAAAGTCTGGGACTATTTCTCTCCCCTTTTTCGTGTTCTACTCGACTCCCCCTTCTCTATCTCCCCTACCTCTATCTATTACCCCTTTTCCCTAGACCAATCTACCACCAGTATATCCTTATCTAACTTTCTCAAGGCAACCATCATATATTGGTGTTGGCTTGCCAGAAATAAAGCTACCTTCGAAGGTTCTCTTTTGAGCTCCAACGCGATTATCGACTTAATTAAAAAAGATGTCCAACTCAGAATTCTTAGCAGCGACACTGATACCTTAAGGAATTTTTGGTCTTTTAAAAACGCATTTTGTTCGGCCGATGCTGGTAAACCTGTCTTCTTTCCCTCTCTTGCTCCCCCCTGAACCTTTGTATATAATAAAACTTGTTAAACCTCGCCCATGAGGGGTCCTTACTCCGGGCTACAGGCCCGCGCGCTGTTTGCGCCCCACATGGTCGGGACAAAACTCTTTGTAAATAGTAAATAGAACTTTATAAATAGAAAACTTGTAAATAGAACTTTGTTAGCTCTTACAGGTGGGCGCTTACTCCGGGCTGTTATAGCCCGTGCGCTGTTCGTGCCGCCTGTAAGAGAAAATGTCATTAGTTAATGGAGACCTGTAAATACTTAAGTAACTCATAATTTAATTCGAATACTTTAATCAATTAGAATTGTAAATAGATATCATTGACGAAATAAAACCGCCTGGTCTCCAGGCTTTTATATTT